CTTTTAAATGAGCCCTTCAGTGCATGGAGTTTTTATTCTGTTGCACTGTCATTTGATCTCACAGAGCCTTTATCGTCTTCCCTTTATCATCAAGTAGCTCCCCCACCCGGACAGAGCCAATCTATCAGCCTCCTCTTTACCGCGCACACCTGCATTTCCTGTACATAATCTATTTAAAAACCACGTTTGTAGGCATATGAGTTGTAAGTTTTTTTGATAGAGTAAAGCCGGCAGCTGGGGAAGACATTCCTTATATGGCTAACTAGTCAAGAAATATTTCTCGCCATGGCGCATCAGGCTGACAGCCATCAAGCCATCTCTGGTGTGATGAGGGACAGGCTCTAGAGACCTAAGCCTTTTTATTTTTTTTATTTTTACAAATGCAAAAACACATATTTATTATTATTATGTAATGATGGAAACAATTTAATAATTTAGTGGTATCCAGAAATTGGAGCATAATTCATTCTGAGACGGTGTTCAAATCCAAATCGTCCGAGTCCCAAGGCAAATTTTACCCATTTAAAATAATGGAAACTAGTTTAGTCTGTTGCAGGGTCCAACACACTCACACTGTAGCACCCATTTCCCTAAATGCAGCACATTGTAACTATAATTACACATGACGATGATATTAAAATGCAAACATTTTTTTTTTTAAGGTGCATATCATACACCCCTACAACATAGTAAAGCCCGTGGGAGCGGACCGCGACATGAATGGGAGTCCGCACGAAATCTCGCGCCCCGGGAGATGCCAGCATTTTCACGATATATACCAAATAAAAATGGGTAAAAAACGTCCTTACTTGCCTAGATCAAAATGGGGACACTGTACCAAGAAGTAGAAGGGGGAAGGGGGATTTTGGGAGATTATTATTTGGAAGGTGAGTCTCCTTCCATGACAAAATCAGGAATCCTTTTTGGTGTTTCATATCAAAGTCGTTCACCACGTATACAGATAAGTTTGGGGTTACTAGTTTCTGTTGACAGCCAGCGTTCAGAAGTGCTCTGCTTTTAGCAGCCATTTTCAATTTGTCTACCATGCTTGGATTTCAGCAGTGTTAATCTGTCTAAATCCCCCTGTGGGTTTCATGGCCTCATTGTAGATAAAACAAGAACAGACCCACTGCTGCGTTATAACTTCAAATTCTTACGTCCTTTTCAGGACGTCATTTTTTGTTATTTGAAGCCCCACTCTGGCTTTTGCCAGGGGCCGCAATATAGGCAGGCCATAAAAATGGCTAAATGTCTGAACGCGGTTTCTGGGACCTCTCCACGGTGATCCTCATCCACATGGTGGCACGTTGTGTCATCGGGTGTTTATCGCTTGTGTGATGTCCTGGTGGAGTAGAAAGTCACTCACTGCCTACCCAGGAGCATGTTGTAAGAGTCGAGTATTCCGGAGCTTCCTTCGAAGTCGGATTACACCTGCATAAGAGGCAAGGAACCAACAGCTGCATGCAAATGAGTCATATTTGTAAACCGGATGTATAGACAACGCTCATCATCATCAGGTGCCTTGTCGACTGGCGTGGGCGATCATTCCTCTCCATAATCTGCGATCACCTGCAGCATGTATCAGTTCGTGTGCCGACACACCTCCATGCCATACAACAAGACTGTCAAGCATCTTCTCTCGTTGTCTTCCTCTATCCCTCCTTCCACAGATCTTTCCAGTGGTCACAACATGTTCTATTTTCCCTCTTCTCATAACATGGCCGAAAAATGATGACTGTCTCCTTCTGATGTCTGTGATAAGTTGTCTTCGGGCTTCCGCCTCTTTCAAAACCTCTTGGTTGCTCTTTTTGGCTGTCAAAGGTATTCTAAGGCAACACTCAGGTTCTTGAAGAAGACCAAATGTCCAGAAGTGGACGAACAACCAGAACTTCCCACCGTAAAGGCAGCATTGTGATAGTTTTATGAATGTTGTTGTTGCTTCGAATCCTGGTTGCTCTAATGCGAGTTGATTATTTTTCTCTTTAGGTTTGATCCAGGGCATGAACGAGAAGCTTCTAAAGGAGGTCATGCAGCTGGATGGAGAGATACAACAGCACAACAAGACAGCACATGTGGCCAAACGCAGCAGCAAAGATTTCTACAGATGATATAACTGCTGTTGGAAACAAATCACTCATGCTTCCAGTATTCACACAAACATATATTGTGTTAACTCTTTAGTGGCAGACATTACATGAATTCTTCTTCTTCTGACAGCCAATGCCGTGTGGCGTTGGTAGTCATGTCTATCCACAACCTTCTGTCTTCTTCTTCTTACGGTCAAATCCATGTGGCATTTGTAGTCATTTCTTTCCACAATCTTGTCTCCTGCCTTCTTTTTCTGATAGCCCATGCCGTTTGGCGTTGGTAGTCATGTCTATCTACAACCTTCTGCCTCCTGTCTTCTTCTTCCTGTAAACCAATCCATTTGGCGTTGGTAGTTATGCCTACTAACAACCTTCTGTCTCATGCCTTATCCTGTTTTGTGGTGTTTGTAAGCCATGTCTACCCACAATCTTCTGTCTCGTGTACTTTCAGTCAATTCTGACACAGATGATCCTCCATGCCATGATGTCACTGTCCAGCATCTTTTCTCTCGGTCTCTATCTGCTTCTTTTCCCCTCCACATTTTTCACTGTCAAGATGTACTTCAGTCTTCTTCTTCTCATGGCATGACCAGAAAATATAGACTGTCTCGTTATATGGGTAATCTGTTCTCTTCTTGAGTCAGTTTCTTTTAAGATATCTTCATTCTTCTTTCTATCTGTCTAGGATATTCTTTTATTCATTGTCATCATAAACCACATCTGCCGTTAAGCGACTTAGGTATGCATAATTTTCGATCCAGTGCACGCTGGCTGCCACTGGCTATTGTAATGCCGTGAAGGCGTAGAGTGTCTTTAATGTTGTCGATTCATGTTGTAGCGGCCATCCTCTTGTTCTTATGAGATGTAGTTCATGTGATGGTATTTGATCTGGTATTCTTATCATTCCTTAATAAAACTATATCTCCGCCGCTTTCAATTAGTTTTTTCCCCCAACTTGTCGTCCAACTGTCCTTGAACTCTCTAGAACAGAATTTCCCATCGTGGGATCCACTCTCCACAGGGGAGGCAACAGCATTGTTGTGGATTGAAATTCGAAAATGGACTCATCCAGAGTTAAGTTACATGGGGGAAAAAAAAAAGGGGGGGGGGGGCATAAACTTATAGAAAGGTTTTTGAATGGGCAAATCTATAAAAGATTTGGGAAACATTGTTCTAGTACTTAAATATTGGTTACTCAACTTGTCCGGACAGGCACACTGTGTGTGATTCTTCTCACTCAGCCTTCTTAGCCGTTCAGGTTCATTGATGTAAAATATCACCCGCCTCTTTTCATCTCTCTGGTTGGCCTTCTCTTTTTTAGTTGCCGAATTCAAGTGTTTGTAGGTCTGCATATACATTATCTCTCCCTCGAAACCATCTTCTTGGTCTACCCCGCTTTTATCTCCCTTGTGTTTGTAGTTGTCCTCTTCCTGTTAACCTTAGGATGCCAGTAGGCCTAAATAGTGGTCTTTAAACAGATGATGTCTCTGGCTTCAGCGATACAAATACAGTTTGCAATTTCTAAAGTACCTGTTTCAGTCCCAGCCGCGGGAGATTTGGCAGCAGACCGTCTTGTGTTGTTCTCCACACAGCGGTATTGAGAGCTGACCGTTCAGTGCAGTGGAAGACTATTGAACATACAATTGTTCAGTGGCAGTGGAAGACTATTGGACATACAATTGTTCAGTGGCAGTGGAAGACTATTGAACATACAATTGTTCAGTGGCAGTGGAAGACTATTGGACATACAATTGTTCAGTGGCAGTGGAAGACTATTGGACATACAATTGTTCACTGGCAGTGGAAGACTATTCAACATACAATTGTTCAGTGGCAGTGGAAGACTATTGGACATACAATTGTTCAGTGGCAGTGGAAGACTATTGGACATACAATTGTTCAGTGGCAGTGGAAGACTATTGAATATACAATTGTTCAGTGGCAGTGGAAGACTATTGGACATACAATTGTTCAGTGGCAGTGGAAGACTATTGAACATACAATTGTTCAGTGGCAGTGGAAGACTATTGAACATACAATTGTTCAGTGGCAGTGGAAGACTATTGAACATACAATTGTTCAGTGGCAGTGGAAGACTATTGAACATACAATTGTTCAGTGGCAGTGGAATACTATTGGACATACAATTGTTCAGTGGCAGTGGAAGACTATTGGACATACAATTGTTCACTGGCAGTGGAAGACTATTCAACATACAATTGTTCAGTGGCAGTGGAAGACTATTGGACATACAATTGTTCAGTGGCAGTGGAAGACTATTGGACATACAATTGTTCAGTGGCAGTGGAAGACTATTGAATATACAACTGTTCAGTGGCAGTGGAAGACTATTGGACAAACAATTGTTCAGAAAGGTCTTTAACCTCACCGTATAGTTTATTACATCTTGCTATTCCTTATCTTCTTCTACTTACATTTGTTTTCCTTCTTCTTCGTCTTCTTCTTCTTCTTCTTCTTCTTCTTCTTCTTCTTCTTCTTCTTCTTCTTCTTCTTCTTCTTCTTCTTCTTCTTCTTCTTCTTTTTCTGCACGTAAAGTTATTAAAAAAACAAAAACATTATGAATTGTGTGAACTCTATTGTCCACATAATCTAACCAATGTATGAACCATTTTAATGACAACAAAGTGCAGAATTGTGGTTGTTTATTTTCAACTGCAGTAGTTTGGTTTATGCCACAGATGTTGCTTCTATAGGAATAAATCACCGTGATGTGCCAGGGTAGAAGAGGCAGAGGCAGACCACAAGAGCTTGGCGGCCTGAAGTGATTACATTGGGGAATATCATTAGTGGAACCGATTTAGAATACAAAGTGCCGATATCTGTGGAGAGACATGATCGCCTAGACCGCCTGACAAGGCGTATGATTATGTTGATGTGCCATAAACATGGATACAACTGATCCAGAACATCAGGGGCTTCGATCTTTGTAGCCACATAATCGCCTGCCAAAGCTGGAATGGAAAAATGATGATGATGCGCTACATAAAAACCCTATTGGTACAACTGCATCACTGTAGCCTTAAAACGAATACCTGATCCTAGACCCACACAAAAATTGTCCCTGAAAGTTGATTGACCGATGACTATTGCTAGAATAATTGTGTGGGATGTGTGGATGTTTAACAAGAGTTGAAATAAACTGCGAAACACATTTAGCTGGTCATATTTTTATGAGAGAGTGAGTGAGTGAATGAGTGTATTGTGGAAAGTGCGTGGGAGGGGGAGGGCGCAAAGAAGAGAGAATGAGAGAGAGAGAGAGATCTGTAAAAGCAACAACCGATATCACAGCACTCAGGACATTCCAATACACAATCCGTCCCTATCTTCAGCATCCAGCGAAGAGTTTTAGTTTTGGTGCTACTGGCAGAAGTTTGATTATCTGCCCGTCGTGACATGTCCTTGAGTATTGCGCCAAATCCTCAGGTCACTTGCAGCTGCAACGATTCTCCCCAGTCCTTGATGATCTTGTTGTGCTACAGCCCAGTTTACTGGCTCCCCAGTCCTTGATGATCTTGTTGTGTTACAGTCTAGTTTACTGACTCCCCAGTCCTTTATCATCTTGTTGTGCTACAGCCCGGTTTACTGGCTCCCCAGTCCTTGATGATATTGTTGTGTTACAGCCTGGTTTACTGGCTCCAAAGTCCTTGATGATATTGTTGTGCTACAGCCCGGTTTACTGGCTCCCCAGTCCTTGATGATCTGGTTGTGCTACAGCCCAGTTTACTGGCTCCCCAGTCCTTGATGATATTGTTGTGTTACAGCCTGGTTTACTGGCTCCCCAGTCCTTGATGATCTTGTTGTGTTACAGCCTAGTTTACTGGCTCCCCAGTCCTTGATCATCTTGTTGTGTTACAGCCCAGTTTACTGGCTGCCCAGTCCTTGATGATCTTGTTGTGCTACAGCCTGGTTTACTGGCTCCCCAGTCCTTGATGATCTTGTTGTGTTACAGCCTAGTTTACTGGCTCCCCAGTCCTTGATGATCTTGTTGTGTTACAGCCCAGTTTACTGGCTCCCCAGTCCTTGATGATCTTGTTGTGTTACAGCCTGGTTAACTGGCTCCCCAGTACTTGATGATCTTGTTGTGTTACAGCCTAGTTTACTGGCTCCTTAGTCCTTGATCATTTTGTTGTGTTACAGCCCAGTTTACTGGCTCCCCAGTCCTTGATGTACTTGTTGTGTTACAGCCCGGTTTACTGGCTCCCAAGTCCTTGATGATCTTGTTGTGTTACAGCCGGGTTTACTGGCTTCCCAGTCCTTGATGATCTTGTTGTGTTACAGCCCGGTTTACTGGCTCCCCAGTCCTTGATGATCTTGTTGTGTTACAGCCTAGTTTACTGGCTCCCCAGTCCTTGATCATCTTGTTGTGTTACAGCCCAGTTTACTGGCTCCCCAGTCCTTGATGATCTTGTTGTGTTACAGCCTAGTTTACTGGCTCCCCAGTCCTTGATCATCTTGTTGTGTTACAGCCCAGTTTACTGGCTCCCCAGTCCTTGATGATCTTGTTGTGTTACAGCCCGGTTTACTGGCTCCCCAGTCCTTGATAATCTTGTTGTGTTACAGCCCGGTTTACTGGCTCCCCAGTCCTTGATGATCTTGTTGTGTTACAGCCCGGTTTACTGGCTCCCCAAGGACTTTGATCACATCAAGCTTGCCATGCAACAATCTACCAACAATTTGGAGTTAGCTAACACATCTGCATGCCATGGAGAAAATATCGAATGTTGAATTAAGAATCGACATCACAGCAATCGGGGAAACTCCTCTGTCCCCATCCCCAGCAGCAAGCTAAAAGTTCCTATTACGATGGGACCAGTAACTGTCTGATTGTATAGCAGTCTCGCCTTTCCCCTGAGTGTTGAGCGTCGGCCAGATCTCCTGGTAACTGCTCGCAGCACCATTCTCCTCAGACAATAATGATCTGTTTGTACCTCTGTACTGTTCTCTCACTCCTAAAGGGACCTCACAACATTCAGCTTGTCATGCAACAATTGTGCAGAACC